TCAGCACAACATTGGCACAGCAGAGCAGCGTTTCATTTTTCACACCACTGCAAACGCAGCGGAGCATTGTTAGAGAGCGCTCGGCTCGTCCTCCGGCAGCCACTGTAATGATGCGACCCGTAGGTGCAGCGATGCACTGATTGACCGGTCTATTTGTTTCCTGTGAGTGAGACCATGATGATGTTCACAACTTTAAGACATCAGCAGCCAGCAGAGTCGTGGCCCTCATCGCTAACCTAAAAATTTCTTCTTACCTAAAATTTAAATCCTTAACTTTTAGAGATTTATATTTTTCAGTGTCACATGCTCTTGGATTCTTGCTAATTTACCAGCTATTAAAAATGAAAGAAAAAAAAAGTGTTTGGAGTGATATCCTTATACATACATCCAGCAGAGCTTTGTTTGTGTGTAGTGACACCAGAAAGAAATTTTAAGAGATTTAAAGTGAAGGCAGCCAATAATTATGTCATAGTAACTTGTGCAGATGCAATAGGACATATAATCCTTCATATTTTTCTTAAATACTCTGTAAAGATGGATTTAGAGTATAGACAAATGCTGCATACTGTGCATGGATAGTTTAGAGGTTTTTAAATGTTCACTTTTAGAGGACATTTTCTGAAAGACGTATAAAGTTGTTTCTAGTATTTCCCCACAACTTTAAGTGGGCGGGGTACCCAGGTCTATTTTGACCTCATTTCACCTTTTTAAAAAATAATTTTTTATTATTATTATTATTATTAGTTTTGTATCTGTCAGGGAGAATAATGTTGTCAGATCAGGTTACTAGTAGCAAATCCCCCGTTTTCTGAAGTCCTGCTTTGAAGCCTCAGGTTAGGCCAGTGGTTCCCAAACTTTTTTTGCTAGACCCCCCTTTGCTTTACAAGGAGTCGTTATAAGAAGTGTTTGTGAACTAAAAATCAAGAATGTGGAATTCTGTTTGTCCGTGATTTGGAGAGCCCAGCGCCTGCTCCTGACGCAGGGAAAACCAATTATGCACTTGTGCAGGTGAAGCCAAAGGGAATATTTGCTTCACCATATTTTTTAGTCTTTGGCTTAGAATGAAGATGGTTTGGAAACATATTTGGCGATGCTTCATCTCCTGCTTTGCGTTTGTGTGGGAGCCAAAGACCTTCTTGGTCTGAGGTGATGGTGCTACCCACTGTGCCACTGTACTGTTGGAGAAAGAAAAAGCCGCTTAACCTGAAAGATAAATGATCATGATGGTTACTTAGAGCTGTAATTAGAAAATATTCTTGCAGCTGGTGTGAGATGCAAATGAAGCGTCAGTTGGTTTCTGAGCAGGAAATGAAACCAGTGAACATCCCATAAACTGAGTGATTTGGTTTGTCAGTGGTTTATCTGGAGCCACTTCTGCAGATGTGGTTATGGCCATTGTTCGCCAAACAAACCAGGCTGATAAAGCAGAGAAAGCAGCTGATACGGGCGAGTGTGTTCCATCTATGCGTGCTGGGTTTTGTTTTTTGGGGGGTTTTTTTGTTTTTTGGTGGGGAGTTTTGTTTGTGGGCCCGAACCAGCATCACCGCCTTCAACCTCAGCTCCTGCAGCTGCTCTGAACACCAACAAGATCCTGATTTGTGCATGAATATTTCAGCTGCAGGAAACCACTGTGGCAGCCACCTGCTACCCAACGCCCTAAACGTTCCAACCCTCTTGATAAGTGGCCCGAGTCGGTTTTTGTTTCCCTCTGCCACAGTTACAGCACTATTGGTTTACATTTTGGAGCATGAGAGCCCTTCAAAGGCATCCTATAGTGGAGCAGGTGTGAAAGACTCTCAAGCCTTGCATGGCTTTGCAAATCATAAATTAATTAATTCATTCGCTTTTATTTAATGATGCCACATTGATGATCATTACTGCAAAAAGGCAGTCAATTATCTGAAGATTTGTGCTTTTAATAGACGCTATTTATGCACCCAAAGTCAAAAATGGCCAACCATAAACTAAACTAGAAGCACTTAGTGGCTTTTGTTGTTATGGTGGTAACTCGCTTGATTTCTGTACTGTTATTAAAAGATAATAATGTTCCTATTGCGTTCAGTCTCTTAGTTTCTCTTTTCTTAGTGCTCAGACAAAGCCTCAGTGCTGTTGGCTCCTATGACACATCAGTAACAAGGAGGAGACCTGATACCTGCAAACACAGGAGAAGAAGCTTCGAGGAACGTCTTGCTTTGGCCTATAATCACCCGATCAGGTTTCCACAGCAGTTCTGGGCAGGCTGAGCCGTTCAGGGGGCCCAATGTAGCTGTTGGTCAAAAGCTGTTTTATCTTCAAAAGTTCAGCTCTGTTAGAGCCTTTAACGGATGAAAGTGGTTGACTTGAGTCAGCTTTAACTTGAATTTTAACAGGCGTTTCTTGCTGGCAGGGACATAAAAGTTGGTCTGCTTAGACAGGATCTTGTTCAGAGCAACACCCACACCGTGAACTGCTGGATAATGAGCAGGAGTGTCTATAGACATGCGCTTGAAGTATATAAACCAGACGAGGGAGCTTGTGCACAATCACCAGCTCCTGTCCTCCTCGTTTGTGGGGCAAGCAGGCCGAGCCTTTCCCTCATTTGGTCATACTGACGGTTTCAGTTCAAAGATCAAGTCTTTACTGCAGCGACTCTCCATCTTTGCATCAGTCCCTTTACACTGAGCCTGTTTAACCCATTACATTAAAAAAGAGACAAAAAATGCTCTGTGATAAGCATTTGTTTCAAATTAAAAAAAATTTCAACATTTTAAACTTGGAAATGGAAGGTTTCATGTGACTGTTTGCTCTGGTTATTAAAAAGTCATAATTTCATTTAGAGTATCTTCTTATTCATTTTGTTGAGTAAGTCTGCAAGTAAAGATTATTTTATCAATTCAATCCCTTATTTCTTGTTTTGCTTGGTTGATTTTAATAAATTCATCCAACTGGGGGCAACTAATTGATTCCTTTTGGCTTGATAACTAATAGATTAAACATTATCCAGGCTATTACTCGTCATTTTTCATTGTTTCTTTAATATTTATAATTGTATTCAGAGCCTCATGTGAATACTGATTCATTTAGTTGCACAGGTAATCGTCATGGCAATCATGTCTGCAGCAGGCCTTTTAGAAACGTGCCTCTTCTCTTCAGTTACATTTAAACGATGAACCCACAGGTCACATTTTAAATGATCGTTTTAGCATCATACTCGTTACTTGCTATTCCTTTCGTAAGATGCTTTTCTCAATGGTGCGGATGTACTTTTACTGCAAACATTATCTGGTCAGGAATATTGAGCGCAGAGGAAATGCTTTGTCTAAGGGAGGAGACTGTAACCTCTATTTGAAGGTGACCAGAGGCAGGCTGTGTGGGAGTGCAGCCTGTTGGAGACCCCTTCTGGCTAGAGACGAGATTTCATCGGCACTTTTTATGCTGTTTAACAGTGACCGTTTTTATCAGCCACCTACAGTTTGTGCAACGTCAGCCACCAAATCAGTCATTCAGTTTGTTCAGACACAGATTTCTCATCCAAAATTGAGTTTGAGCCATCTAGAAGTGATGAATTTATTAACGAAAAATACAATTTTTTTTTTTTTTTTTTTTTTTTTGTGATGTCTTCTTAAATGGGAATATTTTCTAGTTTTCTTCGTCTTCTAGGTTGTCACGTTTTTAGAGTGTTTAAGAGCTGCTTAAACACTTACAGGGAGGTTTTAATTAGTTTTAGTCCAGATCCATTCAGGTCTTCTTTAGTACATCTTTATTCTTCAGACACTTTTCCTATCATACCTTCATCAAGTCAGTTTTTGAGGTACAGAAACAGCTACTTTCAGTTTGAATTCAAAATGATGTGTAAGCAATATATCGAAGGCTTTGCTGATCTTACAAGATGAACTTTTTGTTTTGCTAACATTCAACTTGGATCCTTCTTTATTGTGAGTGAGCGAGTGAGGGGGAGGGTGCCAGTGAAAGTCTGAGAACCACTACGCGAAGTTTTACGAAGGGAATGCTTGAATATAAATATTCATGACCACTGAAAACATCTCATAAAGCACAAGTGATTCACAGTGATTTGAGTCATTTCAAGGCAAAAATGTATCAAATCTCTACCAGACTCTGCTCTCCTAATGTGAGAAATGGCTGTTTTCTTTGTTTTACATGATCATAAAATTAAAAGCATTTATCAAAAGAAGCATAAAGTGCGTCATGCAGACACATTTAAACATAATAAAGCATTAGAATGTGAATTTTGAAATTAGCTGTACAAGACTCAAGTGCAAGTACATGAGGAATATAACCGTGTAACGCTCAGTAGTCTAAAATAAATAAATAAATGCTCGATCACCTTTTTGTCAATACCTAAGGACCTCAGGCCGAGGCCTGGCGGGTAACAAATGCTGGCACCGTAACTATAAGTCCCTAGCATCTATATGCAAAGTTATAAATGAAGAAACTACCAGATGATTAAAAAGTAACTGCAGTTTGCAGCTTTACTAGTTCCTCTGTATGGCTATAGATGAGTTGGAAGCTGAATTTCCAGGATTTAATAGTGTGGCTTCTCTGTGACTTACAAATGTAGCTTCTATGTTTGTTGAGAGCTGCACTGATCTAACTTTGTCAGTTTGAGGGGAAAAAAGGGACAGAGAGAAAATCTGACTTTCTCCTCCCACTCACTTTTGAGCGAGCTCAGTGAGTGGTCTGTCTGCTGTCGGGGGCTCCCTCAGCACTTCTGTCTCTCTGTGACACTCTGATGAGCTGGCCAGCTAATGAGTCCCCCAAACAAGCTGAAGCTACAGCAAACACAGGCTGCTGTAATAGACGCCAGGTTGAAATGGACTGCTGTGCACAGGGTCCACAGCTGACTCCCTGGGATTTTGGACTGCAGCTTGCACGACAGATCAATCCAGACAATTTTTGCTGAGTGAGACTCCAGAAACCCTTTGCTGTGTTTCATCTTTGTCTCTCCCTGACTGCCCGGCTCTTTTTTTTTTTCTTTTCTTTTTTTTTTCTTCTCTCCTCAGGATGTACCCGATAAAAGAGGTTCCTGTGGAGGCTGAGGCCCTGACTGACTGGCTATATCAGAGGTTTGTGGAGAAAGAAGATCTACTGGCCCATTTCTACGACACAGGTATGTTACTGTGGTAAAATCAAACTGAAGAACTATGGTACTAGGGATGAACTGGTTCAGCTTTATCCAATACCACTGCTTTGACTTCAATTTATTGGCAGTGGTCTCATTTCAGCTAAATATTCTGTCTTTACTGCGCTTTGCTGTGGTTTGAGGCTATGCTGCTTTCTCCTTTACCCTGCTCTAAATGTCAGGGTGTAAAGTGGATGATGCTGATAGTATTGATCAAGAATGGAGAACCTGTGCAGTTGAATGTTAAATACACCTGCCTGAGCACTTCACATTTGTTCCCTGAGCGTGCACAAGCCAGAAATAGATGACAAAAGTGCTCCTAATAACAAGAGCACAGTTTGAGTTAACTATACTCAGTCTAACAGTGAATAGTGTGCAGCAGCCTAGCTTAACACAGTTAAAACAGGCAAAAAGTTGGAGCTAGTTTCAGGCTCTGAAAAGTGAAGCCAATGTTCATTTGCATTGAACCTGCATTCATTTTAAAAGCCACCAGTTGGCGATGTGTGTGGTTGCAAAAAGACTTCTTGTCCTACTAAAATATATGGGATAGTGAACCACTATATATATTTTACTAATGAATTTCAGTGTCAGTCACCCTTATTGGGTCATGCTGGATAAAATATCGAGTCCATTTTGTAAAATTTGGTCGTTCTTAAAGTTAGAAGAGATGATTATCCAGCATATATCTAAAATTGATGAGTTGGTAATCAATGAGGGTGCACTTTCACAGTCCGATCCGCCCGCTTGCATCAAATGCAGTTTGAGGATACCAAAGTGACAAAGCCAAAAAAGATTATTGCAAGATGTCAGAAAGGGATTTCAGAGGTCTGTCTGTGATGTCACTGTAGCTGTCCATCTTTTATACCGATGGTGTCAAACATGAGGACCACGGGCCAAAATCGACCTAGCAATGTCTTCACTTTGGAAAATGTGAAGGAGGGCATAAAGTTTGGACATTATAAACATATACATTACATAAAACTTAATGTGTTTTTTACTAACTTCTATAGAAATGTTCATTTTTATTATGGGTTCACGGTAATAAATGAATCCGTTAATTCACAGAAAATGCTGATTTTTTTTTTTTTTAATTATTTATTTATTTAAATTAACAAAACCTTTTGTTTCATAACTACAGAGCAGTCTGGCCAATAAGCTGCTAGAACCTTTTCTGCAATTTTGCACTTTTATTTCTTTAAATTTAAGCCCAAACAATCGTGCTGACACATTTGTCATGTACTACAGCAGCATTTCTACATTTTGTAGAAAAACCGAGACATGCTCTCGCATACAAAATCTCTATAATGTTGGACTCCAGCAGTGTAGGCGAGGTACCTGGTGCATTTGGTGGGCATCTTCTTCTGCACAATTTATCCATCCTACTTCCTCACCAAAAGCACCGACTTTTCCAGCAGTGTACAAGCAATTCCCTTAAAAAAATATTCCATCCTAATCCCCTCTGAAATTGTCCAATGTTTATGTGAAAATCTCTTAACTGTGCAACCTTACACAACAGGTGCAGTAAGAATCAATATAAGGTACCTTCATCTGTCAATGGAAATATTACCTGACATTGCCACACTGATGGAAAATGCAAACCTGTTACCAGATTCATCTATAAAGTAATGAGGCTGATGAGCTGCTTACTGGTAGAAATTTCAAAATAAATCTTAATGTTTTTACTCTATATTGGGGATGTTTGTCACTAGTCAGCTAGACACTAGATGTTGGGGCAAGTGAATAAGCACACAGGTCTATAGACCAGTCAGCGACCGCCTGGCACCCATCTGTCGCTAGGGACAACATGTATTTTCCAACTTGGTGGCAAAAACTAACTAGCAATGTTATTCACAATGCACTAGGTAACATTTAAAATACAGTTTCATTAGTGAAGCATGTTATTGACTCTTTCAAATTCTCTTAAATATAAACACAAAGTTTGCCTTCCTAGTGTTTCGTACATGAAAGTTGCTTCACTGACTTTTGCCTACAGTTTATTACTCAGTTTTTTCCCCTACTTTTATGCTAATTAGTTGACTAGTAAAACTATTAGCTAGCACTTGGCAACTGTGGGAAGGAAAAACTCCCTGCAGCCTTCTGCAGCCCCCCATTCTACTTTTCAATAGCCTAGGAACAACAAGTAAGTAAATAAGTTACCAGGAGCACCCAGACTTATGACCAAAATAGGGGGTGCTTTGCCTGAACCTCTGTTGGTAGTTACAAGTTATCATAACCAAATAAGCACAAAACCCAAGAGAAAGCACATAAGAGCATCCTGGTGATGAGTCTGCATTTATTCGTCCCCCAACAGGATCATTCCCTCCTCCAGAAGGACAGAAGGAGGCGGTTTCCCGGCAGATGACCCTCGACCCAGTGTGGCTGTGCCTGATCCAGTCGTTTGCTTTCGCCTCAGGCTACATGTGGTACAGCGTCCTCCAGTACATCTACTGCTGTTTATTCTGAGTGCGCTGATGAGACGGGAGTCTTTATTGGACCACTGGGAGAGCCTCAGGATTGGATGGTGTGTGGCCCAAGTGTCATACATAACCCCCCTCCCCCCATACGATGGATGAATGTACAATTTTCAGAGGCGAGACTTGACAGGAAAACATATGAAGACAAAGTACAAAAACACGCAGATTACACACAAACCCCATACGATATGAAACTGGTTACAGGCATAGTTAACTAACTTTAACACAACCCTAACACCCCACACACACACACGAGAGAGGCGGCCTAGCAGAATAATCTCACTTGTCACGACCCACATTTTGATGTTTACACGTCCTCATACATGTAGACACTCACACGTACATGACTTTTGTTTCAAAGGTAACGATATGAGGCTCAGGACTCCTCCAGAAGATGCTCTGGACTGGACTCTTCCCCCCTCTCCCCCCTCCCAGGCTTTCGCCGCAGTAGTTTTACAGAGTAAAGTGTGACTGGATGCGAATGCGTGTGCAGGAATATGTGTGACCAGAAGCATCATGTCTGCCCTTATTCTTCCTTCTGGCGAGAGTCGACGAAGCCCACCGGACATCTTTTGGTCCGCTGATGAGTCAGCTGGCTACATTTTGCAGAGCGAGCGGCCGTACGAACGCTGAGGCCGAGCAGCCGGCCGCTCCTCTGACTGTCATTGCACTAAGGATCCATACTGCCCTAACTGCTCCCTGCTCCAGGAAAACCTCCTGAACGGTAGCTGTCGGTGTTTTCTTCTTTTTTTTCTCCTCCCTTAGCCCGCATATCTTCACAACAACGGCCACTGTATTTGTTGTTGATGTCTTTTTTTTCTTTTTTCTTTTCTTTTCTTTTTCTAAAGTGTTCTTTGTTTTTTCTCTCTTGTCTGGACTCTTTTTTTCCGTGTCCGTGAGTTTGCTGAGAAACGGGGGGATCATGTTTACACTGGTGGCTTGACTGAAAACGCTAAAAGGGACGATGGCTATAATGTGGCGCTTGATTAAGGGATTGGATTTTCTTTTTCTTTTTTTCCTCCCTTGGTGAGATTTGATGTAACACTTATTTCAAATGAAACAAAAAGAAAAGTACTGGCAAGATTTTGGATTTGAAAAAAGTAACCCTACTTTCTCTGCTTTCCAAAATAAATACCGATACAGCAGAGGATCGCTTCAGCAAGACTGAGAAGGCAGAGACACTGTTCCCCCATCGGACTACGTAGTTTTACAAATATTTAAGCCATATGCTTATTGTTGTCGAGGTGGGGAAAAAGACACGGAAAATAAACATGATTTTTATAGAAAGATACCCTAATGCATTCTACAATAGAAATTTTGGCTTACAGAACTATAGGTGTCATCATTACTGTAAATTTACAGCATAACCTGCCTAAGTGAGTGTGTGGTCGTCTTTATTTCCCCCCCACACCCCCATCCAACCATTGTTGATATATGATTCAAGTTGTATTGCTCTGTGTTGTCAGAGTGTGGCTGCGGTTTCAAATTTTTAGTTTCTTTTTAAATTACTTGAACTGCTCTGTCCTTATGTCCCAGTATGTTTAAATCTTGTATATAACAAAGCTGAGGAAATGTGTGAAATGACTGAAGCCTGTCTCTTTTCTTTGTTTCTTTTTGGTTCGTGAACATTTCAAAACAATTTATTTCAAGATATGAATGTTTTTTAAAAAAATAGGAAGAAAGCAAGGATTTTATCCCCTCCCCCTCTTCACTTATCAGTGTTATCCCGTATTGTTTTGACCAGGAAGTTGACGTGTGATCCGTTTCTGTGAGGTTATAGCTGCTGTAGGTCCATGTGAAAAGCGACACACGGTCCCAGTTTTGCGGGAAAAACTATTAACGCCTTACCAGATGTTCTGGTTGACCACAGTCCTCTGAATAATGCTGTTCCCTCGCTTTAAACGCTCGACAAACGTTGCTGTGAGGAAAGATTTTGGGGTGTCCAGGTAAAACTGGTCCAGTGAGGGAGAAATCTCTGAGGGGGAAACTCCACCAGGGCCCCTGCGAAGATGCAGATGTTCTCTCTCGAATGTACTCATGTTGTGGTTTTGCTTAGCCTGCTTTAATATGAAAATGATTGAGGAGCAGTGATTATTATTGTTGTAAAAAAAAAAATGCCCAAAAGGTGCATTTCTAGTAGCTGCTGCCCTCCCTCTGTGCCACTGTTGATTTAAATAAAAAATAAAAATAAAAAAATGTGTGAAATGCAAAAAAAAAAAAGGGCTACCTGGCTAGTTAGGTAGGTGAAAACATGTAAAATCAGGCTGTAATGGTGTTTCATCCTTTGACCCTTTCAGATTCCCCTCCATTGTGAGCGTGACTTAAACTGAAGCATTTTTTAAAATCTTTTTTTTCCCCCTCTTTTTTCAATTTGTTGACCATGTTTCCAAAGAAGGCAGGGAAATCATGTTTTCCTAGATGTGGTTTTAGGACATAAACACAATAGGGATTTAAACAAATTATACTAGAACTGTCTGTAATTTTCCATTTTGTACTTCTCCTTTAATTCCTAGCTACACAGCCATTTTACAACACAAACAAACTTGTGCTGGAATAAAACATAAAGATCCTAACGGTGTGCTTCTCGTCAATGTATTCTTGCACTCTTAAAAAAAACAAAAAAACAAGTCGTATTGGGTTAGAGCCCTTTTTGCTTTTATTCATGGCTTCAACAAGGTGCATGACACGGTTTTTGGAGATTTATCATATGTGGCACCCAGTGTGGTCTTCTGCTTCAAGGTTTCAAACTAGGGCTGTTCGATATAACAATGTATATCGGATGACTATATAAAACTAGTGATGTGTGGATCGATCCTGAAATATCGATTCCTCCGATACCAATCATTTATGTTCTAGAATCGATTCTCACATTAAAATATCGATATTTTAGTAATTTAGAGTAAATTTGTAGTTTATCATTAACAGGAACACAGTGGAAAGAAACTATAACATTCGGATTGCCTACATTCAAAGGAACTACTTCCTCTTCCGCCTTTCATAGTCATGTGCGAAATACGGCTGTATAAATGTCTCGCAGCCCCTTGGCGTGCGCACTCACAACAATGGCTGAGCGTAATTGTGCGGATGTATTTTACCTCCACAAACAGCTGAGCCGTGGTTTGCAATAAATGTGGCAAAAAAAGGGAGGTGTTGTGGCCATACTTGCCAACCTTGAGACCTCAGAATTAGGGAGACATTCAAAAGGGCTGTTTGGGCGGATAAATATATTTTACAGGGTTTATTTATCGGATAAAATACGTTAAATGTCACCGTTATTATTGGCCGGCCCGGAAACAGCGGGGGTGTCCAAATTCAGAGGCTGCTTCCACCTGAGGACCGGCCTTCGCGGTCTAAAGAAAGCCGGGTAGTACGTCACGAGCTCCCTCGGTGGAGTGAAACTCTGCCGTCTGCTCCTTGCTGTCTAAAATATAACCGGACACTGACGTAAACTCTTCTGTTTAATCAGTTTTCTGTTTGACGTTTATTCAGCTGTGTGAAAACCCCGGAGGAACCCTCCCGAGGGAATAATAAAGTTTAATTTAATTTAATCTAATCTAATAACTTTAATCTCAGCCAAACCGATTTACTCACGAACAAATAAAACACTGAAAAAGCCAAACAAGAACATTTTTAAGTTATCAAAGTGACTTGTACATCATGTTTAACCCGAGTGGTGAAAGACCGCGGGGGTTTGAAGACGATGTGTCGGTCGGCTCAGATATTTGAAGTTTACACAGCTACATTCTCACCTGAAAATATGTTAAAAGTTTTTTTGCGACCCAGAAAGAGAAATAAGAGTGATATTAAAACTAAGTCGCTGCCGTCATTGTTGGAAACTGGAATTGGCTGGGCCGCGCTATGAATTCTGCGATATGGTTTTTCAACTTTGTTGTCCGGGTGGAAAATCTGGAGAAAGGTGGGATTCTCCCGGAAAAATCGGGAGGGTTGGCATGTATGGTTGTGGCAACATCACTAACCTTGTCAAACACCTCAGAGTAAATCATATCACAAAATATGACGAGCGTATGTTGAGGCGAACTGAAGAGGAGGAGAGGGACAGGTGCTGCTAGGGTGAGAGTCTCTCACGGAGTCCTTTAGTCCTCCAGGCAGGCAAGGTGTTCAAATAGCACACAACTTTAGTTTTTTTATTTCTATATGATGAACTCTGCATTATTAAGTGATAAGAAGAAGGTATTCTGATGTCCTGTAATCATTATGACGCTATAATTTGAGATACAATAAATAAAATCCGTTTTGTACAAAGTATCGGTATCGGATCAGTATCGTCGATACCACCCTGAATATTACTTGGTATCGGATCGGAAAGGAAATCAGTGGTATCGCACATCACTAATAAAACGTCTAGTTTCATTTTACGCTATCGTTTGTTTCGTGGTGTCGCAAAATAAACTGTTTACGGCAATATTTTTTTCATCGTTTTGATGGTCACTGTAGTGGCTATATTAATTTCTCAAAGTTCTTTCTTTCTCTTATATTTAATCTAACCACACTACGGTCGGACAAGCGCCTCTTTTATGCTTTATGGTTAGCAACAACGACGGTAACACCATCGCGTGTCCGCTTGGTTATTTTCCACAAACTTTTCACAATAAAGCTCAAGATCCTGTTGAGACTTTTCAAAATAAACTGAATTACGTGAAAGAGCAGATTATTTACGGATGAGAAGTAAAAAAGCCGCCAGGTGCTAAAAAATAAAAACGGCCGTTACAACTTATGTCTAGAAATATATAGTTTCATACATCGGTTAAAACACTCGACTCAAGCTACATGACGTGCAGCTGGAAACACTTCCCGCAAGTCGAGCTGCCCGAGATTCACATAATTTACAGAAAATCTTACATTTTTGTGATTTATATCGTTATCAAGACGATAGAATTCTTATATCGGGATATGAGACTTTGGTCATATCGCATAGCCCTATTTCAAACACTGTGCCTTCAGAGATGCTCTTCTGCATACCTTGGTTGTAAGGAGGGGTTATTTGTTTTCTGTTTTCTTCCTATCAGCTTAAAGCAATTGGGCTCAAACCATTCTCTATAAACCTTAAAGATGGTTATGTAGGAAAATCCTAGTAGATCAATAGATCGATTTAAAGGAGAAAAAAAAAAAGTAAAGCTACCAATGGCTAAAATTAGATAAATTCAAAAAATTTATCTAAATTCAAAACTTGGGGTGGGGTGCATGTTTTAACTGAATGTTAGAAACGCAGATCGAGCCATTTTCTTTTCAGTTGGAAGTTTGTCATTCACACATGCACTGGAAATGACAAACTAATGTACCCAAAGGAGTCTAAAAAAAGATCCGAGTGGAGATGAATGTGCAGAATTAATCTCCTAAATCGTGCTGTGAAAATCGTCAGTTCCTGCTGATTTTTAATTCTGGTCGTCTAGGAAGGGTTCCTCTCTTCTGCCAGCAAATGTTCCCGTCTTGTTTTCAGTGAGGTAACAAACTATCAGAGGTCCTGGGGTAACCGAAGGCCTGTATTTGCTCAGTATTGTACCCTTTGTTTAACCGTGGCATTGATGTCTGGCTGTTGAAAGTAACTGGGTTCTGTTACAGAGCTCTGATTTCAGACACTACGAGGCCTCTCGGCAGCAGACGGAGATGATCTTACGTTGGTGAGAGGGCCACAGATGCATCAATCACAGATTAACATTGGTATAAAAATATCATGAGACCCGACACGTCAAGACGTAACATCACGCAGTTCTGAAGCATACTGCGTTTCCCCATCAGTGCGTGTTTATCATCATCTATTAAATAAGGCTGGTCCAACTCTAACAGGGTGTCTAAGTTTATGTTTGCTCTCTCAGTCTGACCTTCATGCCCCAGAAGCCTTGCTTGTTTGAGGTTTTTATAATTGGTTATTTGGCTCTGTCACCTTTCTATGGAGTGTTTGCATATGCTCCCTGTGCCTGTATGGGTCTTCTCAAGCTTCCTACCATAGTCCGTTTGCATGTTAGGTTAACTGGTGATTCTGAATTGACCAAAGTGTCGATGCAAACTGAGGTAAGAAAAATGATCTATAAATGCAGCCCCATTTCATACTGAAAAATAAAATGCCTGCAATGCAAATCTTTTATTTAAACCAGGAAGATAACGCAAGATCAGGGTAATCGTCACGCTTTCATCAACTTCTTTTCATCATGTTTTAGTGGTTCGCTGATGTGTCATTTACAGTGTAACCTGTCATTTGTCATTTTGAACATGTGGTTGCTAAAAGTCTTGTCCTCATGAGCCTGTTGTTCATCACATGAGCAAAAGTGGCTAAAAATAAAATTGTACAAGGGGGAACCTTTGACCTGTGTTCTGTATGGAGAATGTGGACTTGTATATTTTTCTAACAGTTTAACAAACAAAATAATAGAAAGTTGAATTATTTGACACAATAATGCCACCTTGAAATGGCACTGAATAGCAGGAATGACTCAGCAACTTCTGACCGCATCGGCTAGGGTTAAATAACTTGTTGCCAGCTGCACTGATTATCCAGTGGAAACCTGCTACCTATTTGCTTAGTTAAATCCCAGTGGTGGCCAGGCAGTGCACTTGGTACTTTAAACCACTTGGTCAACAAACACTGTTATATTCCCAAATCAGATGCACTGACAGAAATCCAAATGCCACCTTTCCTGTTTTGCCAATTTGCCCTAAAATTATTGGCTTTGCAGACTAAACAGAAACTAAGGCCAGCGTGACATTTCTGCAGCAGCTGGAGTGAAATTTGACGGGTCACAGCTCCGGGATGCCACACGCCAATGGGAAAAAGGCAGGAAGTGAGCTGGAAAATGGGATTACGCATGCACCGAGCTTCACCAACATACCAAAGGGCTAAGAGTGAGGAGCGACGGTGGCTGTTGCTCACTGTGGTGATCAGATGGAGGGAGGAGCATCATCACTCTCCTGCTCCTCAGCAGAACTCTTCCCAAGGTCGGCCGCATTACACAGAAACATTAGTCTCTAGAGGAACTTTACTGTCCTCTGCAGAAGCACCGGCATTCCTCCTCGGACACCTGCAATGAGCTATTTCACGGGCACTGCTCCCCAAGGTCCTCAATGTCACGCTGATGGCTGCTCCCTCGTGAATGCTCGGGTGATGGCGGTGTCCCTTGAGTCAGCAAGCACTAAAACATCCAGCTGTGGAGAGAAGGCTTGAATGTCATTGCAACAGCCATGGGCATCAGAGTCCTCACCCTCTCTTTTCCTCCCTGTCATGCTGGTTGAACCCTCTGTGCTCATATCTCATGTGCAAATACTTGTCAACAGATCCTGCTGGAACTCATCAGCAGTCAGAAAAATGAAATTAATTAGAAAAATAAAACCTCGCACTGCTGGTGTGATTGTTGTTGTTTGGTCATAGCATCTTAAAATAATAATAATTAAAAGTAATAAACTTGCAGAATAAAGCAGCCAGGTGTAGGTGTGTGTGATGCAGAAGTGATTATCCTGGCTACCTGTGGATGATTAAGTGTAGAGAAGTCAGAATCAGAATACTTTATTGATCCCTGGGGGAAATTATTTTTTGTTACAGTGCTCCATTTTAAACCAA